AAGGCTGGACGCTGTTGTTTACTATGTCTATCCCTAAGTAAAAAAGAGACAGTGTGCTTCATAAATGGCCAGATATTAAGTAAAACAAAGTCAGTCTAAGATTAGAAACTGCACACTGCACAGCATCAATAATGGAAATGCAGACACCAGGGTAAAAACATAGAGGATGTTATGCAGTGCTTTGCTCTATTTCAGCACCATGGTCAGCGGCACAGTAATAGCCAAAAGATTTCCTCCAAATCGAGTTAAACAAAGGTTAAAAATAAAGCAGACTTAAAACAACGGGATGGGAAACAACTAATAGAAGTACAACAACACTTAGCATTGATGGACTTTAAGCAAGCAGAGCAAAAAAACAAGTGCGGTCTATCACTAATGCAATAACAAAGCAGAGACGCTGTTCCATAACAAAGACATCAATGCAAACACTACCTATGCATGCACACCTCAGTCAGAGGTCACTTTCTGCCAAATCAAATTCAGAAATAGTTTATTAATCCCAAGGGGAAAATAAAATGTACAGTAACTCATAGGCTTTTATTTTTTATTTTTAAATCAGTGGTTGATTTAAAAACCAGATCTGGAGAAGCCTCTTGTTGTCCAGGTGAATGCAAAGGTAGCTATACTCCTCCACTATCTCCACTTCTCCCATTATGTTACCGGATTCCCTTTACTCTTGTTTTTATTTCCAAAATCTACAGTAATCTCCTTATTTTTTTGACATCCTGGATCAGATGATCGTTTCCACACCATGTCACGAAGTAGTTCACCAGCTCTCTGCACTCAGCTTCTTGTCCATCTTTGATGCATCAAATGATTGCTGAGTCATTTAAGTATTTCTGCAGATGACAGGACTCTGTCTGGCTCTGCAAGTCAGAGGTGTGCAGAGTGAAAAGAAGCTGTAAGAGTACTGTCACCAGTGGTACACAGTGTGCACAGCAATGCACAGCAGGGAGAAAGATTACCAGACAGCGCAAATTAGTTTGGCATGGCAACAATGATCTTACATTACCTATTAATCTTATTTCAGAAACGCTTTTTATGCTTATTTTCCTACAAAAAAAATAAGAGGTGGGCTGTGCGACGTCCCTTTTGTTAGATTTTGTTTTTGCCACCAGTGTGATGGTGGGTTTTGTGGGCCCTTTATAACTGTGGGCCCAGCGTAACCGTTCCTTCTGCCTCCCCCTGCCGGCCTTGCTACAGTCTCCAATTCAATTCGGCTCTATTTGATAAAACCTAAACCTAACTGCTTACATAAACAACCTTAACTGCTGAAACAACTGCTGAAAAGTATTTGGGATAATAGTTGGTTAAATCTGAGGAAGAATCTGCTCCATTCTTCTCCTTAAAACTGTTATTAATTCAGGCACATTGGAGGTATTTCAGCTTGAATTGCTCGTTTAAGGTCATGCAACAGCATCTGAATTAGAATCAGATCATCCATCATAGTCTCTTGCATCATAATCCCTTTTAAACTACAAAAGACTCTTAAATCCGCCCCGCCAGCTTTTCATCTATATCCTTTTTGTTTTTGGGTCAACCATGACCAGCTTTTTCTCTAGTTTATTTTACTGGTATCCTAATGACTGCAGAAGCCAGTGAGCTGCTGCAGCTGATGGAAATAGCAGAGCTGTCCTGATTTCAGAGGCAGTAAGTCTGCTTCTCTGCACAAAACCAACTCCAGTAGTTTGGCCGTTTAGACGGCTTTATTCCAGGCACCTCAATAAGGCTACTGGATTCACACAGACAGCAGATTGTCGACACATTATCATGTTAACTCAAACAGCTTGAAACATCAATAATATCAGGAAGAGAACAGAACACACAGGACTAATTTTGCATTTTTAATAAGTTGATTCTTTGAAGCAGCTGATCCTCACTAATTGGACAGATGTTTGTGGACTCAAAGCCCTCGTGGCTCACACTTGTAATCTGCTGCAAAATCTTGTACTGATGACAAACTGACTCTTACTGTAGCTTTTTTTGGTTTAGTCGTGTTTATGAAATTAAACCTCCTTCTTGCATCTTTCCACAGTTATACTGGTTATTTATGAGTGAAACACCTTAAAGGAATAGTACACCCAAAACATGATTAGCCTTCATTTTCTACTCACCCCCATGCTGAACAACACTCTGGAGTACTTTTTTG